ACCCTACACCTGGGTATTTGTTGTCATTTACTAAACAACCAATGAATGACTTTTTACAGGTATAATTAGTAGTAGAACCACGCAGTTTACCTGAGAAAGACTATGCAAAATAACTCAAGAACGTTCTGCCCTGCCTCTGAGGGTGTGAAGGATATAGAGCAATCAACGGTTCGCATTTCTCGAGTCTGGGATAATTATTTAATCTAAGATTAAATAATGTGGCGAGCGTCGTCCAGGGCAGAGATCATAAAAGAGACAAACCCCTTTCCATAGCCATAAGAGATCTCTGTTAAAAGCAGAGTCAATTGTACGATTCCGACTCGAGTGAGTGAGTGAGTGAGTTTGGCTTAACGCCGCTTTTAACGGTATTCCAGTCATATCGCGGCGTGTCAGCTTAATGTGGGAGGAAAGCCTGAAGTGATGCAGGTTTTTAGACGTTTACCACTTCGGTGAAACCCACGAGCACGGGTATGGTGCTGACAAACCTATAAACATAATTGGGGCGAACCGGGATTCGAACCAACAATCCTAGGTTTCTGGCGTGCCCAAGGGACGCAACTCTGCACAGCGAATCGCGGCGCCTTAGACGACTGGGCCATCCGTGTCTCGGATTACGACTCTTACATAGGTGAGTGAGTGACTATGGTTTTACGCCGCTTTTAGCAATATTCCAACAGAAATGGGCTTCACACATTGTACCCATGTGGGGAATCGAACCCGGGTCTTCGGCGTGACGAGCGGACGCTTTAACCACTGGGCTACCGCACCGCCCCCGACTGCATCACGAGTAAGGTGTTAATAAAAAATACGTGAGCAGTAATTCAAGCGTGGTGCTCGACGTCACAGCCCTTTACCGGGTCCGCTGTTGAGTACCGGGTATATAATTTAACTAAATGGTTCTCAGTATGAATATAATGTGCGTAAACAGGATATAGCAGAGATACATGACAATGCAAATTGTTAGTTATATTCCTATGCTGCTTGTCACAACACAAGGAAACATGTCGGATACACATCACATGTGTGTCCTGTTGAGTATGTCCAGTACCTTACTATTTTTAGTATTCATTTCGTAAATATACTTTTGATATAGTACAACATTTTGAAACAAATAAACAAGATGTTACAAACTAATACAAGCAATAGTTATGAGTTACTCGCGATTGCTTATCGACCCGTGAAGATCCGATTTTAATTTCGTAGTTTAATACTAAAAACCTATAATATTTTGCTTTTCCTTTTATGACCAATAACTCCAGTAGTTACACTGATCTGCGATCATTATCTATTTTATTATTATTATTATTATTATCTGTTTAAGACCCGTCTTCAGCAACCCATGCTTGCCGTTAAAGGCGACTATGCTTGTTGTAAGAGTCGACTAACGGGTGTGTGTGTGGGGGGGGAGCAGGCTCGCTGACTTGGTTGATGCATGTCATCGTATCCCAATTGCGCAGATCGATGCTCATGATGTCACTCACTGGATTGTCTGGCTAGGCTCGATTATTTACAGACCGCCGTCACATAGCTGGAAAACTGCTGAGTGCGGCGTTCAACAAACAAACAATCACGATTACTTATCAATAAGCTATACATACGCTTCAGTAAATATGATAAGTAGTCAACTGATGGTTTGATAACGAAATTATCTTACCGACATTCTTTCATATACACGTCCGGAATATATGCCACCGACTTCGCAAACGTCGTAGCAGACGACGCAAACGAACCGAGTTACTTACCTTTACCTAGTGCATTCCGATAAACATTGGTTCATTACAGATACATATGCGAAGAGTTCCGAATGATTTCTACAGGCTACATGGATAATATTTGCCCGCTCCTGAATCAATCAGAAGCTTGTATTTTAAGGTAAGGTGAGATAAGTACACTGTATGTTTATTCCCACGTTCACAAAGGGATTTATGTTTCAGATAGGATTAGTGAGTGAGTGAGTTGGGTTTAACGCCGCTTTTAACAGTATTCCAGTTACATCACCGCGTGTCAGCTTAATGTGGGAGGAAAGCCCCAAGTGATGCAGGTCTCAGACGTTTACCACTTCGGTGAAACCCACGAGCACTAGCATGGTGCTGTCGAAGCTAAAAATATAATCTAGGCGAACCGAGATTCGAACCCACAATCATAGGTTTCTGGCGTGCCCAAGGGACGCAACTCTGCACAGCGAATCGCGGCGCCTTAAACGACTGGGCCACCCGTGCCCCCTAGATAAGGCTAGATTCCACCAAGGGCAGCGATGGCTGGAAAGTGGGTCTTCAAGACCAATAAGTTTGTATGATGTATGTATATATGCTGTGTGTGACAGTATTTCGAAAATGGTGAGTCAGTTGGGTTTAAGTCGGCTTTGAACAGTATTTCAGTTTAATCAGGGTGTGTCTGCTTCAAATGGGAGGAAAGACCGAAGTGATGCGGGTCTTAGATTTTTACCACTTTGGTGAAACCCACGACCACGAACCTAGATACATTATCAGGGCGAACCGGGATTCGAACCCATGACAAGAAGTTTACAGATACTTAATACAAACATCCGATGATCGCAAAAATATTGTATTACTCAGCCGTGAAGAAATCACCCGTTCAATAACAATATGCCTTTTATTAAACAGTGTTTAAAAACGTCAGGTGTGGTTGAACCTATCTTTCGTATCATTCGAAAGGGGGGCGTCGGCAGCACTGTGCACAACCTCCTCTGTAACGTCTACTCCACTCCTTCGTGGATAATTAATCTACTCCCTATGCACGCTACTATTTTTTTTACAAAACACCAGGTATGCATAGAGTGCGTGAGTGAGTGAATATGGTTTTACGGCGCTGTAAGCACTTTTCCAGCAATATCACGGCCGAGGACAGTAGAAATGGGCTTCATACATTATACACATGTGGGGAATCAAACCCGGGCCTTTGGCGAACGCTACAACCACTAGGCTACCCCACCGCCCCAAAGTGAGTGAGTGAGTATGAATTTATGCCGCTTTTAGCAATATTCCAGCAATATCACGGCGGGGGACACCAGAAATGGGCTTCACACATTGTACCCATCTCGGGAATCGAACCCGGGTCTGCAGCGCGACGAGCGAACGCTTTAACCACTAGGCTACCCGATCGCTGTGGAAACTACATGTCTATGAATGGACCACCGAAAATCAGTGATGACACCAGGTGTTCAGCGAAAAGGGCAAGCATGTCTTGGGAGACCCGTGACCTGAATAGCCTACCGCGCTTATTCCACGGGTCCCAAAGGTGTTTATGAATTCGATAAGTAAGGGAGGTAACCGCATATAAGGCAAGCGCATAGTGAAACATACACAAATAGAACTAGTGCACGAATAATGCATTTTGTCTTCTCAATGAGTCTTACTTTGTTGATAACATTCGGAATTACATTTTTAGGTATTTGTTATAGTTTTCTGAAAATTGGAAAGTGCAAACAATTTTGTGAAACAATTATTTATAACTTATCACATTCGGCCTCGTTAATAAAATTCTCGATATTTTGTTAGTTGTTTTGCTTTAGTTTATTTAAACATTGCAATGACATTTGTTAGAACGATTACCACAATCATGAGAGGCGACGATGCCCACGCACCATTTTATCACAAGTGCAAGCTAATTTGGCTTGACCTAGTTTCGACCTGAATAGGCTACTGCGCCCATTTACTGTGGAAAGACATTGTTGATCAAATTCAATATGTAAGGGAGGTAATCGAACAGTATTTGTTTGTTTTATTCCCCACAGGTCCAATCAGTCAAAATCATGACTTAAGATATAAAACAGCAAAAGAATAGAGACCCATATCGTTCATGTTGTTTTAAACAGGCCTGTGTTAAATAAATATGTTGGAAAAATTCATACATATTCATATTCTCACAAAAAAAACTTCTTGAACTTGAATTGTTTCCGACTGCTTCTGTATTTAGTTCGCAGTGCGGGAAAGTGTGTATCATGCTCTTGACATTGTTTAATTTTTTTAATTATTTATGTCGACATGACTGACTGACTGAGGATGGTTTTACGCGGCTTTTAGCAATATTCCAGCAACATCACGGCGTGGAACACCAGAAATGGGCTTCACACATCGTACCCATGTCGGGAATCGAACCCGGGTCTTCGGCGTGATGAGCAAACGCTTCAACCACTAGGCTACCCGACCGCCCCTTTCTACCACAAGCCCACGGAGGCCGTCCGGCTTATTTGAAGATGATTCAGCATGTATCTTTGTTTCTATAAAGAGTTCACCTAGACTGAAGTTTAACCTTTAGATGAATGTATAGATACAAATGATGCTTAACACAATATTGTTATTACCTCGTTACTGAAAATATCTTACTATCAATACATCAATAGTGTTAATCGTATCATTTCTCCTACATTAAAAAGCACTAATCATAGATGAATTAACATTCAGTAAAGTTCCATGCCGCTTTAGCAATATTCAAACAATATCATGACGAGGGACACCAGAAATGGGTTTCAGCTTTTTATCTATTGGAGAATTGAACCCGGCCTTATGCGTGACGAGCGAACGTCCCCAGCCCGAATTAACAGTACATAGTCGCATTAAACATCCGGAGACACTCCATGTCCCCCCAGCACTCCCGTTGGAACTACTTCCTCGACTGCATCAACGTGGTTCCGACTGCGCAGGTATACACTTCACACAGAGGTTATTGACCCGAGTCTATTTAGAGACAGTATTCCAGTTATATCGTTGCGTGTCAGCTTAATGTGGGAGGAGAGGCCGAATTGATGCAGGTCTTAGACGTTTACCTCTTCGGTGAAACTCAGAAGCACGGGTATGGTGCTGACAAACCTAGAAATCGCGGCGAATCGGGACACCCACCCCCACCCCCAACCCCACCCCCCTAGCGAACGAAGACTGATGTGAAGTATAAATAGCGTTGATGGACAAATCCCTACCCACTGATAACGACCGTTATATGAAGACTGTCTGCGAACTTGTAGAAAGGAAACCAGTACTCACGACTGTGTCTCGTGCCATTGCCAGGTGCTTTGAGTGGTCCAAATATCAAAGGCGATTCGCAATTCGCTATGAAGAGTTGCGTCCCTTAGGGTGGCCAGAAATCTATATGACGGTAAACTTCTTTGATCTGCATTCTGATACTATTGGAGTACCGTTATCAGAGGTGTTAATCTAAACGCAGAGAGAAGGCTAAAACGGCACCTCAGCAAAACGTCACCGATTTCTCTGGCGAAAACGGCACCGCATTTGGCGAAAACGGCTACTATGTGACGCGCGAAAACGGCACCTCTGTTTTTAATAACGATAAGAACGATTTTTGTTGCCAGGGTTACCAGGGACTATAAGTTACTTGCGCCTCCCAATCAGAGTCGGCGAGTAAATTGGAGTAGGGGGCTAATTTCTTATGTAAATTTGTTTTAACATTTCTCTATAATTGGTGGTTGTAAGAGACGATGTGAGTTTAATTTCATTCATTTTACTTCAAAGCATGTTATGTTTTCACAATAAGATGAGTTGCGTATAGGCTAAGTTGGAATATAGTTGGAGTAGAGGCTAATTTCTAATGTAAACTTGTTTTAACATTTCACAATTATTGGTGTTTGCAAGCGACCATGTAAGTTTAATTTCATTTATTTTACCAAGGTAAAAAAAAATAGGGTGCCGTTTTTGCCAGGCAATAGTAGCCGTTTTCGCTTGAGGCGAGGTGACGTTTTCGCCAATCGGTGCCGTTTTCGCCAGGTGACGTTTTGCTGAGGTGCCGTTTTAGCTATAACCCCTAAACGTACTCACTCAGCCCAGTCGACTTTCACGATGCTAAGCTACCAGCTCTCGATCCCTTAACCGGCATTTGTATCAGCGTATCCTGGTTTTAAAGTCGAGGAAATACTGGAATAAACACTAAAAGGCTTCACTCAAATATGAAAATATTGAAAATACAGCCTAATGAAATACAATCCGGTCAGAATTTGTCCAACGTGCGAGGTTGGGATCGGTCGTCAGCATCGGCATTTTGACTTTGTCGTACACATCCTACTACCTTACATGTTGTATCAAACACTGGATTGTCTGGTCCATACTCGATTAGGACGGTCGGGTAGCCTCGTGGTTAAAGCGTTCGCTCGTCACGCCGAAGACCCGGGTTCGATTCCCGACATGGGTACAATGTGTGAAGCCCATTTCTGGTGTCCCCCGCCGTGATATTGCTTGAATATTGATAAGCGCGGCGTAAAACCATACTCACTCACTCACCCCATACTCGATTATGTACAGGCCGCTGCTATATAGCTTGATTATTGCTGGGTGCGGCGTTAAACAACACACAAATTAAATTCAGGTCTGTCGAAGTGTATGAAAAAAGCAAATAAAACATAAGTAACACTCTTCCTCGGAATGGAATATGGACTCCAAATTAGTACAATTTGTAAGATCAGTATAGTTTTCGTTTATTGAGTCCCATGGCCTCGATACACCGGTTTTTATAATGTGCAATTAAACTATTTAAAGTACTCACGGAAATGAAAAAACCCTGTTTTTTTCGATCTCAGATTTTATATAAATGCAGTTAATATACAAAATATATAAGGATCTCCAGGTTGGATGCTTGCCCTTTCCCGTTGTCAGTAGAGATATCGGTTTGGAAAAGTATTTCATTTCTTGCGTGTGAAAGACAAAATCAATTGACACTATTACGTTTAAATTTCTATTATGTCCTGGAGTAAAGTAGGTCTACGACCTTATGCGTAGAAGTCAATCTATCAAGTTTAGCGGTTGATAAATAATGAAATATCGTCAATTTGTTTACGTAATTACTTCATCCTCAAAGTTGAATACGCCATAATTAGCCATTAGATTAGTCCAAACCATCTTAATTATCCACCCCTCCGAATAACAAAGGTTTGCTTGTGTGTGTGTGTGTGAGAAGAGAGTGTGTGTGTGTGTGTGTGTGTGTCTGTATGTCTATGTGAGTGTGTGTGTCTGTATGTGTATGTGTGAGAGAGAGAGAGAGTGTGTGTGTGTGTGTATCTCTGTGTGTCGTGTGTGTATGTATGTGTGAGAGAGTGTGTGTATCTGTCTCTGTGTGTGTCGTGTCTGTATGTGTGTTAGAGTGTGTGTGTATGTGTGTGTCGTCTCTGTATTTGTTAGAGTGTGTGTGTGTATTTGTGTGTCTGTGTGTGTCGTGTCTGTGTGTGTCGTGTCTGTATGTGTGTGTGTGAGAGAGAGAGTGTGTGTATCTGTGTGTGTGTCTGTGTTGAGATAGTTGTACTTAAATATATATGTTGCATGATATTTACAACTTGTCAACAGGAGGTGGGTGTACATCAGCGCCATAAGGAAATGTGAAGGTATTAACAATGCACGTGCTCATATTGTATGCATGGGAAGTGGTCACGCTCATTTGTCATTCTCGGGGAACTAGTTCACTGCGATCAATGTCCGCAACATGGTTAGGTACAGTTTCATTTTCTGATTTGTTATTTGGCCAATTACTCAAATATCATCCCGGCGGTTTAAATCAAAATGTGAGGCAGGATCTACACGCTTATCTTTTTGATACTGAGTTGAACTGGTGTTTAACGTCCCGTTCAAGATTATTGCACTCGTATAGCGACGTACATGCGGGAGTGGGTGAGGGTGTGGGTATGGGTGTGGGTGAGGGTGTGGGTGTGGGTGTGGGTGAGGGTGTGGGTGTGGGTGTGGGTGTGGGTGTGGGTGAGGGTGTGGGTGTGGGTGCGGGTGTGGGTGAGGGTGTGGGTGTGGGTGTGGGTGTGGGTGAGGGTTCGGGTGTGGGTGAGGGTGTGGGTGTGGGTGAGGGTGTGGGTGAGGATGTGGGTGTGGGTGAGGGTGTGGGTGAGGGTGAGGATGTGGGTGTGGGTGAGGGTGTGGGTGTGGGTGAGGGTGTGGGTGAAGGTGAGGGTGTGGGTGAGGATGTGGGTGTGGGTGTGGGTGAGGATGTGGGTGAGGGTGTGGGTGTGGGTGTGGGTGTGGGTGAGGGTGTGGGTGTGGGTGCGGGTGTGGGTGTGGGTGTGGGTGTGGGTGTGGGTGAGGGTTCGGGTGTGGGTGTGGGTGAGGATGTGGGTGTGGGTGTGGGTGAGGGTGTGGGTGAGGGTGAGGGGGGTGAGGGGGGGGGGGGAGTGAGGTGGGAGGGGGGCGGCTTGTACTACGGACAAGTGCTATCCCACTAAAACACCATACTGCCGTTTAACAAGGATACCCCAGTCAGACAGAGCATGCTCCGAGCCAACCAGTCCTTGTTTAACCCCCTTAACGCCGAGGTCCAGGCAAGTAGGCAACAAGTACCATCTGTCAATGTATTTTCATATGGCGCGGTCGGGATCGAACCCCGGACAGTTCGTTATCCGGGTTACCCACTAGGCCACGAAGGAGGTGTTAATCACAAAGGATATCCCCGTGGTAGAACAAAAATGAGACAGGTGTACCAAGTGATTAGATGACACCTGTGGCTCTAACAACACTAATTAAAAGTTCTGGCTCTAAACAGTTGGCATGGCAACCACATCTGTGGCATGTCTAAACGATGTTACACTGCAGTCAAATACAGCAAAGAGTTTATATCTGCTTACATCCTACAAGCAAACTTGCTTATCGGATTTTCTTTCGAACATTTACATGATATTATACAGATTGTACATTTTCGTTTCATAAAATTACAATGAATGTAAATACAACATTATAGTATTCCTTGAGTTGGACGATAACTCCGAGGCCAAATACATTCAATAATAAATGTCAACAGAAAGTTGAATTATTTCACGCACTATATGTTTTCTCATAATATTTTTCACTCCAATGAACCTTTTTTTCAAAATTCGAAACAGAGTAGCAAGGCGCGTTGGGATTCTTAGTTATTGTAAAGTCAGTTACATGGAGGAATGGGGCTGGGGGTAGCCCTGTGGTTAAAGCGTTCGCTCGTCAACCCGAAAACCAGGGTTCCAAACCCAAACTCCCGCCTTGATACTGCTAGCATAATCCCAAACACGACCTAAAAGCAATGCTCACTCGCTCTCTCAATTCCACAGAAAATGTGATATATTATTTTAAAAAAGGTGCTTTCAAAAACAATATTTTCGCAAAGTATTTTCGTCAATAAAAAGTAAATTATACGTTTGTACCTACCAGGTAGCTGTTTGATGTTTCTGGAAAAACCAAGTATTGTCCTGTGTATTCCATTCTTCAAAGCGTATCACCCCTACATATATATCGGCATGACAAGTGCTCTATATATACAACGAATTAAAAGCTCCAACTTATAAAAGGTGTGTTTAAGCCAAGATAGGGACTACTTCACTGGGTGCCCACGTTTTCCATATATGGATTTGCTTTAACACCTTTAAGGATCTTGAATATTCAACAAAAGGTATCAGGACACGCCTTCACGTTGCACCCGTCACGGTTCATCGTTGAATAATTCCCACTCCTAACTCTTCCTTGTCTGAAGTATGAAGCCAGGCAGTATGGGCCTTAGTCATGACGCGGGTGGTGACGCGTTGCCATGGCGATGTAAGTGACGTAAGGAAAAGGGACACAGGTGTCGCAATGCATAATTGGGTGGTGACGTGTGCGTGCACTTAACAGGAGCGCGTGAATTGTTTGAGGAAAACGGGTGGGTTTAATCACGTATGAGCTAGTCCCATAAAATATTTTATCACGTATAAGACATATGTTAATAGGTGCACGGTATTGTATTGATTAAAGCCAATCCTCGATGATATATAGAAGCTCGTTGAGCCTGAACCGGGTTGCCGGAAATACGCCTTCCGCTCGATTATTGAGTTAGGGACAAATATAGGGACACATTTAGGGACATTACTTCAAATACACGACTCGTGAGTTGGTTAATCCGAATGAATTCACTGGGTGGTGTATAAACAATCTACATTCGTTGCATCTTTGTTTAAAAAACTATTTGTGTTTACGTTTTACTGTTATACTGTATTGTTTTACTGTTATACACCAATTTCACATGCACCGGCATTGGACGTAGATGGATTTCATTGTGGCTATGGCGTCCTGATTATCGAGGTTTCACTGTATAGAGAGTCTACTCTCGTCCCATCTGTGAAAGTGGTTATAATGTTTCAAGAGCTATTCTGGTGTTGAAA